GAGTGGCCTTAAAACTTGACAGAGAGGGGCAATGCTGGGTGACAGTCATCTCGAAAGATGTTCAGAAACATTTGGTGAAGCTAAACTTTATAAATTGAAAATGGAGATGGGAGATTTTGTGAACTTAGTGTAGCATTTACTGTTTTCTGCCAACAGCAGCACTTGTTTTAATGTGTATTCACTAGTATGCACACATTTACTTACCATAATGTGTGTTTTTGTTATCAGTAATGGCCAAACTTACTTAGGAATGTTCATTAAAAACCACTGTGTTAACACAGTTGACGTTACACTTGGTTTGTTAGTTTATTGTGGTGGGTTTTTTTAACTCTGTGGGGGACATTACCAGAAATGACTGATCACGACACATGTACTTGCAAACTATTCATTGTAGTTCCACTCTCGAACTCCCTCTCAGAGTAACTTTTGGTACACGATTGGAATTCCAGCCGGCTCAGTGGTCAGCTGAAGTGAGATGAGTAATGTGGGCCTTATTAGGAAACAGCATCACCATCTAGGGGCTCTGTCAGCAAACCAGGAAACACCTGTGCGGTGGAGGGGGGAGAGAGGGTGGGGGAGTACATGTTCCAGCAAAAGGCGACCTATTGTGTTTTAGTGCTTTTTATAAGTCACAAGGAAAAAGGGACATTCTGGACAGGAAGTGACTTGACGCACTCGCATACCGTACAAATGCAGTCTGGCCAATGTCTGGTGTAAATAAAAAGTGTTGTGACAGGAGTTACATGCAGCCAGCATGAAGATGACTGCAGTATAAACTATTCTGTCGACAAATCATGTAAACAAGAAACATGCAGAAGAAATCTCTTTGCTTGTTGGATTCAGCCATGCCTCCTTTTTATAAAATACATCAAGGTAAAAAAAAAATCCATATAAACAGTTTAACACCCTCAACAAGATACAGGGACATTTACATCTTGGCGTTTGTTTTGTGCTAAAGTACTTCATTTTTGCAAACAACTGGGAAAATGTACACAGTGTGACTGAAAATACAAGAATGTTACAGTGAAGTTTGATAGCAGGACATATTTAGACTCCCTAGACAGTACAGTAATAGCAGTAAACAGTTGGATTTATACCTCAGAACAAAAGAGAGTTTCTTTCAATATCCACCATTTGTGATCAGTGTTCAACATGGCAAGAAATCAATTGTCGATGGAGCAGAAAAACAGATTTTTGTCAACTGGCAGGAGCCTGAAAACAGTGCTACCATAAGCTGAGAGGTTCTGCTTTAGGGAATCTCTGACCAAGTCGATGGAATGATATTTTGCCAAACTTCTTCCTTCTTCCTACCTCCATCCAGCATGCTCTTATTGTTTTTTTCCCTTGGTGAGTAAGAACTCATCCCATGATACATTAATGAACAGTATACTTGATGATGAGGTTCGTTCATTAACGTATAAATTGCAATAAATACTTGAGAGTGACTTTTTAATGTGAAGTTGACAGAATCTACAACAAGGATCACATGACAGATAATCTGAAACCATGTTAGAGAGTTAGAGAAAATTTTTATTGTTCAATAGTCATACAGAAATGCTGAGGAAGGTTTAATGACTGTCTTCAAGTGTATAACAGAAAATGGAGACTGGCTGAACTATAGAGGACCGGGATCATCACACCTCCACATTATGGACCAATATAGTGAACACAGTGCACTTGCGGCCTCTTGTCACTCACATGTTTTCTCCACTGTTGGTCTGCAGCTAATCAGTATTTTCATTATTGATTCACCAATTATTTTCTCGATAAATCATTTAGTTTATAGAATGTCAGCAAAAATGGACTATTCTCACAAGTGGGTCCATAAGTGAGCCCATAGTGATGTCTTAAAATGCCTTTTTCTTTCTGACTAGGAAATTTATAGTAATCATAGAAGAAAAAGTGGGAACCTGTGAATTTATGCTTTAATTTTTATTTTTTTTAAAAACTAAATCAAAATAGCTTATTTCTGTTGGTCAACTAATCATAAACTGACTGTTTCAGCCCAACTCTTGCACTGCTTTATCGCACAAGATGTGTTCTTTTTTGTTGTGGTGGTTCTTCTATAATCTTTTGCATCTTTATTCAGACTTAATGTCTTTTATTCAGCATTGCCTGACAATAATGGGAAAGGCACATGGCACTGCAGTTCCTGATTACTCAACTGAACATCGAACATCAAACCCCCCAAGGAGTCAGTGAGGTGAGCGCGCTTGTGACCCGATGACATCACCACACAGATGACACACTTTGTGAAAATACTGCATTAGACACAGTCACGGTCGACACAACAGAGTCCTAATAGCCAACTAGCTGATGCATTGCACTTCAGGTCTTTCTGCAAGCAGGATTGTGGCTGCTATAAAGGTTGCCTGCCTCCTTCTTAAATACATTAGCTATATTGTGGAGCCACTGATATACTGGACAGAGAACAGAGGGGAGGTACATGGAAGAAACAGAGATAAAAGACTGGAGTGAAAAGCCAGTTGAATACACACCTTTTTTATCTGCTTCGCCTGGGTCTACTGTTGTTATTTACAGCTGACATTAACAAACCCCATAATGAAATGAAGACTCGGAAACGGATTGTGGACCTCCCCGCTCATCAGCCATGATGTCACAAGCCCAGATTAGACTGGACCATATGGCATGCTGCCTGCTGTCCCTCTAATCCTCAGCCACCTTCCAGGCTTCTCTCCACTCAAACCCAACAATCCCATTCATCCTACCACTCACTCATTCATCCATCCATTCAACTGCCTCTTTTTTTCTCAGCCAATCACACACAGGCAGCCAGCCAGGCACAACGCCACATGCACAGCCCTTTCTCCACTATTGAATGAGACTGTAATGGCCGCGAGGGCTATCTGTTATTTAGTTTATTATTGTTTTGTTTGTTTTTTGTCTGGTGTTCTATCCATCTCTGTCTGTCAGTGGAGCTGTCACTGCGTCTGTCTCACTGTCTGTCCGTTTGTCACATTTATTTTGTTCAGTGCCCCTCTCTTTCTCTCGCTGTGTTTGCTCCTGTTTTCATTCCCACGCATTCATGCAGCAGACACAACATGAGGTAACACATATTTGTTGGATTCATTTGACCAAAGAGGCTTTCAGTGCCTCTTGTTTACACTATGTATAGATACATTGGCTACACATGGCCCGGCCCTTGAACCTTGTACTTTGGTCACACTTTGGTGGGAAACACTACCCATAAAATTATTTCAAGATGTACAGTAGGCTATGTAATGGGTCAGAAGGTCAGATTAACAGTCAAATGATCAAACAGCCAGTAGCCCCAGATGACAGTGTAATGGCTGCTTGAATTTAACATTTAAGTTCTTGTTGTCATTTCAATTTATTGAAGCAATGGTTCAACATTTTGTGAAATGTATGTAATAACAACAATTCTGTATTTTTTTTCGTTGTTTGGACCAGCAGGCCTATCTGATAATGTCCAAGAAATAATGTGCCCACGTAAAATAGCAAATTGTTGTTTTCACACATATGAAACAAATGAGATATAAGGTGTGCATTAGTGAGCTTTACAGGTGCTGGCAGGACAACACTGTGCTCTTGCTCTTCTGGTCAGTATTCTTGTAAAACTCGAAATGGTCTCAGTTGGATTAAAGGCTACAGTTGCATATTTAAGTCCAAACACACAGAGACGCAAACAAACCAAACACAGTGTGGAGCTGCATGTTAGGATTGATTGTACATCATGTGAGTGCACGCAGTGTGACGTTTAAACCTGTTAATTCATTTGTGGGATTAGGCTTACATGCTGAGGATATAAGGCAGGTTCACTGGGCTATACATGGGACCAAGCGGAAGTTAGAGTTTGCCTTTGTCAGCTATTGCTGTCCAGCTGAGCTCTCCTTGAAATTCCCCACATTACTGAAAATAGAAGATTATTAACAAACAAATAAATAATAACCTTTGGAGATTTACAATATAGTGGGTGTGGTACTCACTAATAACTTTATAGTTTGATAAGATATGAAAAAGCATTTTTATGTGTTATTTATTTCCTGTATCACTTAGTTTGTTTGTTTTTGAGTGTTTGTGTGTGGTACACAACAATGAGTTTATGTTTACAGTATGTGACCATAGCCACCTTTTTTATTAGTTCATTAGTAGATTGGTTGACTGACATAAAATGAATTAATTAACTCATTAATTGATTAATTTTTTAGGGGGGGGGTTAAGCAAAAACGACATTTCCTGGCTTCCAACTTCTTAATTGGGAGGATGTGCAGTTGTGTATCACTGAAAACTGGTCACCTTTGAGTTTTGGAGAAAACAAGACATTTGAAGATGTCACCATGGGGCCTGGAAATTTGTGATGGCCATTTTTCACTATCTTCTGGAATTTTGTCGACCAAACGAATTACTGTAATTGATAAAATAACCAGCAGATGAATTTATTAACAAAAACAGGCTGCAGCTCTATGTTACCCATGCAATGCCACGTTTTGTATATTGGTGTGTGTTTGTTTTGTGTTCTTCATCATTCATCTAACAGCTATCTCTACTTAGGCTACTCTGTTTTTTCCCAATAGAGATTCGTAATTCTGGCTGTGGTGTTTGCTAGCATCCTTCCAAAACTTTGCATCCTTTTTTTAGTTAGAGGGATTTACAGTAGGCCTATTGTTTGAATTTTGTTCAATAAGCTGTAGGCTATTCATTCTTCTTTCTTCTAAAAAAACACAACCTCTGGATTTATGTCCACCAAATATTAGCTGAACTACAAATGGACTGTGAAAATGAAAGGACAGATGTGGGTGCTGGTAGAGGACACACACTGAGTAATCTCAAGCTCACTGCAGTAGCACGGTTTTTATTTACCAGAGCCGGGGGCGGAGCCACATTCTCGTCATCGATGTGGGCATGGTCTTGCTGTGACCACATCTCACCGGTATCCATATATGGTTCGTGACGTCACGCGCCGGAGGTTCCATTCACATAAAACTGATCGGCCGGAATCCCCTTGGAGGACATGTAGGCACAGACGCGCACGGGACTCCTCGCTCGCCCATATCCGCCATTTAGAAGTAATCCAATTGAATTCTTTAGGCAATAATAACAACTCCAAAGCGTCAAAATGAAAGTCACCAGCATAGACGGCCGGCGTCTGAGGAAAATCATCAGGAAGGAGAGTGGCAGCTGCCTTATTGTGGATTGCCGACCTTACTTCTCATTCACGAACTCCAATATCAAAGGTTCTGTCAATGTCAATCTCAACTCAGTGGTGGTCCGGAGGTCCCGAGGAGGGCCGGTGCCCCTGCAGTTTGTCATCCCGGATGAGAGAGCCCTGTTTCGGCTTCGGGAGGGGAGCGTATCGGCAATCGTAGCTCTGGATGACCGGACGTCCCACTGGCAAAAACTGAAAAAGGACAGCGTAGCACAAATAGTAATAAACACTCTGTCACATCTAGCGAGCGGGGCAAACGTCTGTTTCCTGAAAGGTGAGTGCTTTGGGGAAATTAAACTGTTTTTATTGGAAAAGAGGAAAATGAAAATATAGCCTAGTCTATCAGTTTGCTGTTGTTAAATGACAAGCCACGCTTTTAAAACAAATTGTAAGAAAGCTATGTGTATGGGCGCCTTTAAATCAAACAGTCTTCTTCTTGGATTAATCTTCAATTAGTCTTCTTGGATTAATCTTCTTGTCTGTGTTTTCTGTCCCAGAAATTTAAAATGTAAGCTACATCTAGTAGAATATTAATAGACTTCTGTAGCCTATTAAACTACGGTGGGGTTTAAAGAATAGTCCGCTTTTCTGTCCTCGTCGCTCACTATTTTAAAGGACTGGACCAACAGTTTTTATAATTTATTTGACTTCCTAACAATAGCCTTCTATTTTTCTCATTATCCTTCTGGCCTGTGTTTCGAGTAGCCTACGCTTTTCTCTCACTTCTTGGAGAGATATGGCTAAACGTCCTGCGTGAGTCAACGGAGCGGATGAGTCAGTGCGGGAGAAACGCAGGCAAATTGTCGGTGCAATGAGTTTCATTGATAAAACAGAAACATTGAATCCACATCCAGCCGTTTATTTTAGCTAAATAAACTCACCGGGGCTGTGATAATGTCTTGAAACGCATCCATTTCCGTCTGTCACCTCTGCGTCCTCAGGATTTAGCCCTAAAAGGATTACGGCACCTTCAACTGCGGGCTCCCAGCCTAATTAATTACGCGCTAATAATCAGGTTATAACGGTTATAATCCTGTGTGAGACTGTTTCATAAACTGCCATTTCACAAGATATGTAGGCCTGTGAGTGTGTGTTTGTGGGGGTAGAGGGAGAATTATTCTAAGCTTATTTATGTGTTCGTGTTTTCCCCTTTTCTCTCAGGAGGATACGAGAACTTCCACTCTCAATACCCTGAACTTTGCACTGAGGTGAAAACCATCGACCAGAGCGGAACTGAAACCGAGAAGAGAGTCAACAGCCACAGCGAGAAGCTTTCTCACCACAAACCAGATTACGATCAGGTATGGAAACACCCTTTACAATACAATAGGCTATAGCCTGCTACATCCACTGCCAGTTTATATTTTTAACCTTATCCAAAAAAAGAAAACACACCCAAGCCCTGCTGACAACAGAGAAACGTGTATTTGGCATCAGCCCATCAAAAGATTTTCTTGCCATAGCCTACATGTGATATTCTCTGACCTTCACTGCTCCCCCACCATCTTTATAGGCCTATGCCTCATATTTGGCTCATAAAAAAGGAGAGACCACTCAGTGATGCCCAGTTGACATGGGGACACCTCATATAGAGAAAAACACTTTCATCTCTGACCTTTCCTCTGTCTCCTCCAATGCCCAGACAGAAAGCATGTTGCTGCTCCACATCTCAAAGACCACTCTGTTGTGTCTGTGGTTGACATACTGTGGGTTATTTCACTTAAGGGTTTACAGAATAGGGGAAATCCATCTTTCCAGCTGCATGCATTCATGTGAGCGTTTAGTCTGCAGATGAACGCAGTGTTCTGCTCTGCAGCTTATTGGGCTGCAGGTGCTTGGGTGTTGCGGCTTGGACCACGGGTGCATTTGCATCAAGATCTGGGGTCCAGTGTTTTGTCTTGTTAGGTGGCCGTGAAATTGTACTATGTTGTATATTCTAGTCCTTATCTACATGGACTCACGTCTCTCCCCCCCCCCCCACACAGGGTAAACCTGTAGAGATCCTGCCTTTCCTCTACCTCGGCAGTGCCTACCACGCCTCCAGACAGGACTATCTCAGCGAACTTCACATCACGGCCTTGCTCAATGTGTCGCGCAGGGACCTGCAGCCGGCCAAGGGCCACTACTACTACAAGTGGATCCCAGTAGAGGACAGCCACATGGCCGACATCAGCTCCCACTTCCAGGAGGCCATAGAGTTTATTGGTGAGTTGAAGGGAATGATCGTAATGCTCTGCTCTCCTTTTAGGGGGTGCAACTCTTCACCTATTTTCTGATTGGCAGGGGTCACACTCAGAGGTTTGTGTCTGGATTTGAATTGTAAAAAGTCACAGCCGTCTTTATGTTTTTCGTTATTTTAAGAAGATAGTTCAGTCACCCAAACTAGCTAGGAAGGGAAATAACCACCACCAAGATGGAGTCTTTCCCGGGAATAACATCAGCTTCTGTTTATTTGTAGTGCAACATCTCCACAAGGAGTCCCAAAACAACTCAAGCTGAGTTAGAGAGCCACCTATACATAGCCCAGGTGTGTTTATTTTTGTTTTGCTGCCTCTCACCTGCTACCGTGCACAAAAAGAGGGCTATAAGAAATCCAGCTGTAATCAGTTTAACTTGTTCGCCTGCCTTCAACCCCCCCTAACATATCCTGCCAGTCTCATCCCTCCAGCCCTGTATTCCTCCCACCCGTCTTAACTTGAATAAGACGCTCCCATGCCGTCATCGCCTCTCAGGCCTAATCTCAGTGGCTTACTCTGCAGGGTGTGGCCAGTCAGTGTGACAACTGGGTGAGCTGTCCGTGTTTAGTAATGACCGGGTGGAGGAGGCTGGGGGCTGACTGGCACACACACGCACACACGCACGCAACACACCACACACACACAAACTCAAACATGGTTGTTTATGATGGTTGGCTGAAGGATAAAAGCTAGCTGACTGACACACAGTGAGAACACACAGTTGCTTGTTGCTCCCAGGTGTGAACCATTGATGGGCAGTAATGTGTTACAGAGGAAAAAAGAGTGTGTGGGAGAGGATAGAGGTGGTGGATAACAGCAGCAACAGCAAAAGATGTAGGCCTACACAATGTTCTGGTGGCTATTTATAGCTATAAGGTAAAACCAAGGACAAACAACTTGGCTGACCGTATTGGGTGGCTGCTATATTGTCGGTATTGTGCATTGTTTGGGGATGCAGCCTACATTTAGGGTGTCTTTGTGTAAGCCCGTCTGTTATTACATAAGGCCGAAAATTGTTGCAGGGGCAGATTTAGCCTACATTCAGAGAGGGCCTCCAAATTCATCAACCATGCCAAGTGATTAGAAATCCAGCGCACACAAATCCTTAGCGAGCTGAACTGGTCCCCGAAACAAAATCAATCACCACCATCAGAAACGGATGTGCAGTCATGGAGGAGATATTAAATATTATTGACCTCCCGGATGAAATCAGCTGCTGAAGCTACAGCCAAGAGGGTGCATCACTCCAGGATGGTCATTAAAACACCCACTGCTGCTGCACTACTCCTTTTCACCCCTTTTCCCTCTGTGTTGCGTCCTCCACTCCAGACGGGAAGTTCATGATTCATTTGCGGTTTACTGAGAGTCAGAGCTGTCAGAATTGCAGAATTGAAGACGTTGTTCCTCCCTGCAGTGCTCTCAGTACCAGACAGAAGTGGCCCTCAATGTTTCTATTTCATAGAAAGCGATAGAGAGAGATGTGTA